ATTTGACAAATTTGATACGACACAGGCAAAATATTGTAACTCTGAGCCTCTTGGTAATCAGAAGAAGTTGTTTAAAAGATTGTGCATGTTTGACCCCTGTGACCTTGAAAGTTGGTCAAGATCACCCATTTAAAAGGCTAATAGACTTCATCCCAGTAGGCAGCTTCGATTCATACTATCACTCTGTTACCTCTTAATTAGTTATGCCAGGTGTGTTTACAAAAATGGAACAAAATTTGCAAAACATTTTTCAAATTCAAAATGTACTGGAATTCTTATCATTTTCTTAAGACACAAAACCTTAAAATGTATTTGTAAATTTTCATATATTTAAAAAAAAACATAATTTGGAAAGCACATTTTAACTAGGTGTTGATTTATCAATGTTCAATAGATATACATCTGTTAGTGTTTGCATTGAATGAAGGAAGTCAGAGACCCATACATTATATCATATGTAATATATATATATGTCTCCGTCCAATTGGAGACAGCCACTATGTACCATGACGGACGTGTTTCTCGGCAGGTTTCATAAATTCTTCTTATTAAAGTTCCCTGAAATACTTTATTGGAAATCTAGTATTTTAGATCGTATAACACTTAGATCTACTGAAGTGTCAACACATGATCAAATCGCACCTAGAACTATTACACAACTCACCTTGTAGGGTCTTCTCTCGTAGGTCCTGGTAAACAGTGGCACGCGATACAAGCCGAACAGCCGTACCACTACGTTTACCATGTAACACTGCAGTATCAACCGTCAGATGGGGACTCAGATAAGCCCGGGATCCTTTAAATGTAGTTCTCAGCCTGTCAGTGTACTGGGACCTCGGGGTAGCCTCCCCTGTCAGCCCCCCTACAGGGAGGGGGCGCCCTTCGCTAAGCTGTCCCTAATAAACCCTCCCCACTCAGCCTACAGATCTTAGCCTCGATCAAATCCCACAGCACGACATCTTTCAATTCAACGAAGACATATTTTCAAATTCATTTTCAGGATGATGACTGTCTAAGGAGAAGAAAATCTGAGCGCTCCGCGGGACATTATCTGTGAAGCTTGCCTCGTTACGGATATATGGGTACCAGCCAACTTCTGCTGCCAGTAGCTTGTTAGAGACAAGACGGCGGTTCTCCACCAATGATACAGCCAGCCTTTGGCAGGCGAGCGTATCTCACCATCAAATTAATGTTTCTATAGCTTTCATCAATCACAACATCGGGGTTTTAGACGGTCAGATAGGAGTCGTATAAAAACGTTATATACAGAGCTATAACAAATGACGTCGAGTTGTGAAGAAATATTCATATTCTAGCACTCTTTATCCTCTGTACGTTTGCACGTAGACTTTTCTGACTCGAGTCTTAATGTTTTGTCCATCGTTTATGACCATTTGAAAACATACCTTATACACCAAGACATATAAAATAACGCTAAAACAGGCCATAACACCAAAACATACAAAATAAACGCATTTGATTATTTTTGACACCACTTTTCACCCCATACATCTTAAATAAGGAATTAAAAATTTGCAGGAAATCTCATAAAAAAAGTATAATTGGTGTATTACAACTTTTTGACAAATGAATATAATTATATATGATGCTTTTATTCCAAGACCCCGAGCTAGGGACGCGGTGGCGGAGTGATGTCTGACCGTCTACGATCACTGGGTCGCGGGTTCGAGGCTAGTCGCCAGGTTCTGGCCGCGGGTCGGTAGTGTATCCCCGGGCACTCCACTTTTTCTCCACCAAAAAAACCTGGCACGTTTTGACCAAGTAAGCTGTTAAAGCTCAACGCTGTCAAACAGACCTATAGGAATATGCCGGGAAGCTTCGATCGTGCGTCCGATATGCAAGCTGTTCAACTACTTATATGATATATTCCGTCGTCACTTAAGTACTTGTGTAATTATATTTAAAGTGCTACATACATATAAATTATTTTTTTCCAAATTTTAATGATGAAATGAGTTCTTTTTGAGGAGGCAAAACGATGTGCTGTATGCGGATGTCCGAACACACATGCGTATACTATTTTTTTACATAATTCGTTAATCTAGTGACTGTAAATATGATACCATTTATTGTTCAATCGATCTCAAGAAAATATTATAAACTTATTAAAAATTGAGGCTAATTAACGTAAGCGCATCCTACACTTTCTTTCCGATATGGAGAATCATTTATGCTCAAAATGAGCAGCAACCCTGTATTTTTACCCCCGGTTATAAAAACTTGACTTTTTTATTCTTTATGCAATCCAGAGCACTGGCACGCAATAAATATACACACCAGTTTTAAGAACCTTGCAGAGGGAGAACATGTCCGTTCAAGTCTCACAAAGATTAGTATTTATCAATGAACCACCTGATCAGATATATAATCTACGTAATCCATGTAGCATTATTTGCCTCGTTCCTGACTTTCATCTGTCGGGTGATGCAGTTGTACTGATTGTGGTTACTCTTTGACAGTACTTACGCATTTCATTTATTTGTATTTTTCTTGAAATTGATCATTATATATTTTCCCGTCATCTAGACTGAAGACATTGTTGCTAAATGGAAAATTGGAAGACACATAATCTACACCAATCTACATACTAACTTTAGGAACCCACGTGCCCACCTGTTAACATCCCTTTGATGTCATACCTGGACCAGAGACGTATTGTTATATGTAAAGGTGTGTCTTGGAACTCCTGCTGTCAGCACTGGACACAGGTGTGTTTAGTGTCAAGATGCTTTTCATTATTGAACCAAGGTGTTAAATTATTACTTGTGTATATTACATGTATATGGAGAAAAACAATATTTTGACTCTCATAATTCAATAATTCTTTCCAGATAAATATAATCACAGAATTAGATTATCTGTTCAAGCCCGTGATATAATTTAGCATCGCATTGTATTGTATTGTATAAAATTAAACGTGTAACTGTCGGTATTTTGCTGTTTATTTGAATTGTCGACCTAACATAAGCATAAGAACCACGGAATTAGATGCTATCTAAGTCCGTTGGAAGTCACAATGTAGTCAATTTGTCATTACACGGTAATATTTAAAATATGCCATACATTTTATTTCAAAAACAGCAGACACCAACGTTTAAGTTATACCATAACAAACATCATGACCGATAGGGCATAAGCTGAGGTCCGGAGATCGAATCCCCGTGTAAGAGATGTTTTGTGCAAAAGAAACTTGTAACTGACATTATTGATCTATTTCTAATTTAATATAGGAAATATTCAATCATACTGCAAACATCAATACAAAGCTGTTAACCGATATTTGTTGTGATTTTTCAACTAAATGTTTGGTAGTTTAGGCGCAGTTTCTCTGTTATGAAATAGTTTCACAGAAAGAAAATGCCAATTGAATAATGTTACCAGATTTCAGCTTGCTTGGTTTGATAACGTCTAATATTATGTAAAATAATTTTAATTTATCATTGAAATATACTGAAATGGTGCTCTGGTATCATTTATTCTATATAAACCGACTCTATATGCAATTAATTTTTAGGACTACAATATATTTCCTGAAATATTGCAAAATATTTGTATTGTTATATGAAAATTGCTTGCAATACCCACCCTGCTCTCTGACAGGTGAGCTACAGTACTGTATTGAAATTGAAAGCATGCCTCAGGTAGATACTATTTGATTTTGTGAACTATTTACAAACTGTCGGAAATATAATATACCTACGGAAACTAGCGATATCTTAAGTACACAAGAACACAATGATGAATGCGAATTTGGTCAAAAATGTTTAATATACGCAATCAAAAACGTTTCTTTTCAACAATTAAGTAACAAAATGGGCTAAAAAAACCGCCATTAAACCTTCCGCCGGGGAACATATCTTTCTTATGTCAGATTCCGCCGGGGAACATATCTTTCTTATGTCAGATTCCGCCTGGGAACATCGGTATACAGGATTTCATTTCAGTACATTGCAGTAAACATTTCGACAATTTTCGCTTATGTATGGTGACTTGATAGGGCAAACTATTACATCTAGTAATCTACCTCCTTAGAACGACATCAAAAAATACGCCGACGGCGACACCGCGAAAATTTTGATCCCTCTATGTAATAATCTCGCTTCCTCGTTGTCTATTCCGGTTTTGTCGCGCAAGACAGTTGAGTTTCTGCCATTAAATACAATTGAATAAATTGATTTAACAAAACATTACAACTTATTTTGAACGCTACACGTCTTTCGAAATAAGACCATTTGGCATTACGACGGGGTAGACAAAGAATATAATGGATACACAATAGTGACTGCTGCATGACTTTATGCAGAGACGTATAATACATTATATTATTATACGTCTCTGCCTTATGCAAAAAAATAAAAAATAAAAATGTAATACATATTTTTTCCATTTATCTAACAATCATTTGTTGCAGTTTCTATAGAAAACATACTAGTAACAGGGCTACAACTCATAATCAGGAAATGGTTGAATGGAGCTAGCATACACCCCTTCATTTATTTTTTTATTCCATTCTAAGTAGATGTATTTAATTGTTGACAACCATTTCCTGATTACGAGTTTGGGTATGTGTTTTGGTCAGTGCTTGTTGAATCTTAATATGTAAAACACATTACTAAAGAGTATGCATGTGAATATATGGTTTATTGTTTTTTGCAATTCATCAAACTGTTAAAATGAGACCCAATTTCATCGAGCTCGAGGCTAGAGCTCTATATGTGATCGAAGGGAAATAACTCCTCCTGAAATTACCTCCCTGTGTGGTATCACAGGCACCTGGAGAAACTGCAACAGAGACAATATATCTTTACATAAAATTGCTAAATAAATACAAACACCTTGTTTGGATGCAACAATTACAAAGCAAAAAGAACGTTGAATAATGTATTCATCAGCTGTTTTGACAACTACTGCAAATTGCAATAATAAAATGTAGACAGCTTTCTTCGTGTGCCTGTGCAGCGTAAAATCTGTGTCATCTACATGTTTGAATGGTTACAAGCGTTTTTATGAGTAAACTCTCAAGGTCACCACGGAGAGTGGATCGGCGAGCAGGTGAAGTACATATTTCACGGGCTATATGTCCGTTTTTGTTATAATATTTCATGTCAAAATTGTGTTAAAGTTGAACTAGATTTTAAATAGGATTCGATGATTAATAAACTCTGCCAGATTTATTCGCCCCATGGAGAATATATTGAAATGGTTGTTTTCATACCCCCCCCGTCAATCGGGGGCTAGCAGCAGCAAAACCTATCGTGTATAGGCCACTGTACTGAATACTCAGATTACTTATGTAACTTTGATTAACACTTTATTATATTTTACACATTCTCATAATGATAATGATTACATTGATTTATTATCATGCATCAACATTCATTCTGCAGAATTTCAGCACAGTTCTCCATACTCATCAGAATCACTGCCACAATAATAGAATGCACTTTGTTACAAAAACACCGGATATCAAATTGAGATCCTGATGACATGTTTTGTATTGATTTTACAGATAAAACCTGAAGATGAGTGCCGGCACTGTGTGTAAGTATATTCTACTATAAAACTGCGTTTAACGATATCGGAGCCTGAAGTTCTGTCAATAATGAATAATGATAGTACTACAAAAAAAATACCCCAAATATGTTTAAAAAATATTTTTCAAGCATATTAGGGGTATTTTTTGTGTATTACTATTATTATTCATTATTGACAGAACTTCAGGCTCCTATGGTTTAACTGTATATTATTACATTTCCTGTAAGTAAAAAACTGGGACGTTTATTATACATGTACATTACCTGTAAGTATAAAACTGGGGGGCTGTGGTTAAACATTACCTGTAAGTATAAAACTGGGGGACTCTGGTTATACATTACCTGTAAGTATAAAACTGGGGGACTGTGGTTATATCTTACCTGTAAGTATAAAACTGGAGGACTGTGATTATACATTACCTGAAGGCTGTAAGTATAAAAATGGGAGACTGTGATTATACATTACCTGTAAGTATAAAACTGGGGGACTGTGGTTATACATTACCTGTAAGTATATAATTGGGGGACTGTGGTTAAACATTACCTGTAGGTTGTAAGTATAAAACTGGGAGACTGTTATTATACATTGCCTGTAAGTATAAAATTGGGGGACTGTGATTATATCTTACCTGTAAGTATAAAACTGGGGGACTGTGGTTATACATTACCTGTAAGTATAAAACTGGGGGACTGTGGTTATACATTACCTGTAGGCTGTAAGTATAAAACTGGGAGACTGTGATTATACATTACCAGTAAGTATAAAACTGGGGGACTGTGGTTATATATTACCTGTAAGTATAAAACTGGGGGACTGTGGTTATACATTACCTGTAAGTATATAACTTGGGACAGTGATTATACATTACCTGTAAGTATAAAACTGGAGGACTCTGGTTATACATTACCTGAAGTATAAAACATTAGTTTGTATTAATAGTTCTACAGAACTGTGATTGTACATTACTTGGTGTATGTACCAAACTTGTACATAAACAACCACTTATTCCGTCTTCGTTTCATCCGCAGTTGAACAGAAAATCCGCGGCATTAATGGAAAATACCATTTTGATTGGTTTATATAGAATCAATACTGGACCTTATATCATCACATGTGAAGATATAACATGTATTTATATACCGATATTTAAAGGCCCAGTATACCTAATATATCGTCTGTCGTGGTGCATCGTCCGTCGTCCATCGTCAACTTTTTACTAAAACACAACTTCTTCTGAATATCCAGAAGGGCAAGGATGATGATATTTGGCCAAATACATATTGGCATGAAAGGCTACCAAGTTTGTTCAAATGTATGACCTTGATTTATATTCCAGGTCACAGGGGTCAATTATCTAAAAAAAACACTTTCAAACGATTTATATTCCAGGTCACAGGGGTCAATTATCTAAAAAAAACACTTTCAAACAACTTCTTCTGAATAACCAGAAGGCCTAGGGTAATGATAATTGGCCAATGACATGCTGGCATAAAGGGCTACTGAGTTTGTTAAAATGAATGACATTGACTTATATTCAAGGTCACAGGTGTCAAATATGTTCAAAACCTTGAGGCTTGAAACAGCGTCTTTAAAATAACCAAAAGGCACAGGATAATGATAATTAACCAGTAACATGCTGCGATAAAGGGCTACCAAAATTGTTCAAATGAATGACCTTGTCTTATATTCAAGGTCACAGGGTCAATTATCTTAAAAATCTTTCAAACAGCTATATATATAGCTACTTCTTCTGAATAACCAAAAGACCCAGGGTGATGATATATGGCCAGTAACATGCTAGCATAAAGGACTGCCAAGTTTGTTGAAATGAATGACCTTGGCTTATATTCAAGGTCACAGGGGATGTTCGAAATCTTTAAATGACTTCTTCTGAATAACCATAAGGCCCAGAATCTTGATATTTGGCCAGTAGCATGCTGGGATTAAGGGATACCAAGTTTGTTCATATGAATGACCTTGATTTATATTCAATGTCACAGGGGTCAATTGTCTTCAAAACCTTTAAACATCTTCTGAAGAATAACCAAAAGGACCAGGATAATGATATTTTACCAGTAGCCTGCAGGGATGATGGGCTTCCAAGTTTGTTTAAATAAATGAGCTTTGCCCATATTCAAGGTCACAGTGGGCTAGTGGTGTACCGATAATCGGAAACATCGATTAAATCGAGTTTGAAAAGGGTCCGATCCAATAATCGATTTGGCTGATGAAAGATCGATTATGTTCAATTGTGTTGTAATCCTCTTCTTACCTGAATCAGACGCAACATCTGCACTGACATTATAAATTTGGTGGTTAATATAAAAATGGAATCGTATATAGTAAAAAAACGGAATTGCTTTTCGTTTTCACTTGTATTCATTTCGTATAATATATACATCCGCATTTTGTATCAACCGAAACCGCCATATTTGAAAGCTAGTAAAATGAAGCTAGCATTGTTTTTCGTGATAAATTATTATTAATATGCCATGTTATAGTGATTGGAGTATTCAAATGGGGGAAATTAATACCTAAGCCGTGAGCACACCTAGTTGTCATCAAGATTTGAGTCAAAACACAGATATAATTGAATCCTTCCTTCCGCCTAGATTTCAGAAACAAGTATTTTCTCATCAGTCTGCTCAATTACATCAGATAATAAATCGGACGGCCTCTTATGTTACACGAGTAGGTCATTTAAACCGATAATCGATTATCGATCGATTGTGGAGTTCCGATTATCGATCTTGAATATTTGACCGATTCCCAGCACTATAGTGGGTTAATATGTTGAAATCTTTAAACAACTTCTTCTGAATAACCAAATGTCTAGGGTGATGATATTTCGATAGAGGTATGCTGGGATGAAGGGATACCAAGTTTGTTGAAATCAGTGACCTTTGCCCATATTAAAGGTCACAGGAGTCAAATATGCTGAAATCTTCAAACGACTTCTTCTAAATAACCAGAACGCCCAGGGTGATTGGTTGTTCATGTGAATGACCTTGACACACTTTCAAGGTCACATTTGGTCAATTGTGCATGAATCTTTAAAAGTCATCTTCTCAATAAACCAAAGATATAGGGTGGAGGTGTTTGGCGATTTTCATTCTGGAATGAAGGCCTTAACAGTTTGTTCATGTTTGACTTTCAAAGTGTCAGGGGTCAAATGTGTATAAATCGTTTAACAGCATCTTCTGAATTACTTTAAGTTAAGACACTGATATTTTGTCTGCAGCTTTATTTTAGTTCACTTTTAAGGTAACAACTGAGAGATTAATACCAGGTGAGCAATGCAGGCCCATTGGGCGTCTTGTTTATATTTCAGTGGAAAAACGTAATTAATATCTATCACATCATTTTTGTAAAAACTGTTTGTTAATATATCAACATTTTTGATACATGTGTGTATAGTTTGTATATAAATAAGGGTCCAGAACCTCAATATATAGTCATCGCTGTAATTACCTCCCAGGCAGTATAAATTATTGACAGAAAATTGGGCAAAACTTGTCTGAAATGTAATCTTAAAAACACTGATTAATGCTTGTAGTTCTGTTATTCCTGCAAATAAGTTTTAGTTTTCTATATTCATCCTTTCGAAATTATGTTTTTTTTTTAAATTTAACATTACTTGACTGCTAGTTTTCAAGGATATATATATATAAATACATTGATGGCTGGAGTCAAACTTGACACACCAAATTTTTGTTATTTATCATCTTTGTGTATTTCTTACCCTAGTTTTAACCTTTTTTTATTTATAGCCCGTGTTACTTCGTCGGCTTTGAAGCCCAGCAAGATCAAATCTACTTTGGAGACCACCAAGAATGTCCTCGTTAGAGTTCTTGAGCCGCCAAATATGCTGAAGAAAATCTACTTCAAGTTTACATACTATCCAAAACTAGGTAAGTTGATAAGTTACATGCTCTTATTGTTTAACTTAACAGTTTGCTTCTAGAGCTGAGATTGACTGAAAGTCTGTCAAAAGTATAAAATATAAAAAGTGATAAAAATAACCTTTAACTTTTAAGTAGTGTGATAATTGGAGTTACTCTTAGATATGAAGCTGATGATTTTTAGATATTTTGTTTGTTTATAAATGTCTGTCATTTTATGCATTACAGCAACAAACCATAACTTTGCATAGTGATATCAAAAGAACATATAAGGCTTTCAGTGATTCAGAGATTTCAGGCTTTCAGTGACTCCGAGATTTCATGCTTTCAGTGATTCCGAGATTTCAGGCTTTCAGTGACTCCAATTTCAGGCTTTCAGTGACTCCGAGATTTCAGGCTTTCAGTGACTCCGAGATTTCAGGCTTTCAGTGACTCTGAGATTTAAGGCTTCCAGTGACGCCAAGATTTCAGGCTTTCAGTGACTCGAGTTTTCAGTCTTTCAGTGACTCGGAGATTTCAGTTTTCAGTGTTTCTGAAACTGTATCCGTTACGTACTAACCAACTTCCATTTTGAGCCAAATCCCAAATTTAATATGGTCACCAGTGGATATCTTAATTTTGGTACCTGTTATTGTTGTCTGTGCAATAACTTGTAAAAAGAGAAATTTCCTGCAAATTTAAAGAATATCAATAACCCTAACCCCTTACCCTAACCATTTCAATTTGATCTTGAGCTATGGACACAGGTGTTGGACACCATGGTTAGGCATCACATTCGGCTCCATTACTCTAACAGTACACGTCATTAAACTTCATGTAGGGATTGTTGAACAGTTGACAGACTCCACATTTCTTTTTTGAGTTCGCCTTTGTGTTTAGATCGGTTTTCTTCAAATGCAGGAACAGGAGCATATATATTTTACTTTTATTGTTTTATTTAATGCAATACCTACAAATTGTCAGAAAGGACATAACATAATACAGTAGTCGTAATTGATTATATCTATCATTATGAATACGACAGCCTTTTTAGATATGTTTTACTACAACAGGTCTGAACACTGATGATTGCCTGAAGCGTAACTACTACGCCAAGGGAGTTCTGAATGAAGCAGTGCAGCGACTGCCGACCCGGGTGCAGGAGGAGAGACAGTTTCGAATTAGCAGGGCTGTTATGCATAGCGGTAACAAGACCATCCCGAAGAAGGGGGACACTGTTCGTTTTGGCAGAGTGAGTTAATTTCCAAATACTTTATAATCTAAATCTATCATGCCTTTAGCAGTTCATCAGTCAAGTTGGGTATTATGTGTGTTATGTATTCATTCTTGGTTTTAGTGAGTTATCAGTATGCCTGTTTTGATGGTATTATGTGTGTAATGTATTCATTCTTGGTTTTAGTGAGTTATCAATATGCCTGTTTTGATGGTATTATGTGTGTAATGTTTTCATTCTTGGTTTTAGTGAATTATCAATATGCCTGTTTTGATGGTATTATGTGTGTTATGTATTCATTCTTGGTTTAGTGAATTATCAATATGCCTGTTTTGATGGTATTATGTGTGTAATGTATTCATTCTTGGTTTTAGTGAGTTATCAATATGCCTGTTATGATGTGTGTAATGTAGTGAGTTATCAATATGCCCGTTTTGATGGTATTATGTGTGTAATGTATTAATTCTTGGTTTTAGTGAAATATCAATATGCCTGTTTTGATGGTATTATGTGTAATGTATTCATTCTTTGTTTTAGTGAGTTAACAATATGCCTGTTTTGATGGTATTATGTGTGCAATGTATACATTCTTGGTTTTAGTGAGTTATCAATAGGCCTGTTTTGATGGTATTATGGGTGTAATGTATTCATTCTTGGTTTTATTGAGTTATCAATATGCCTGTTTTGATGGTATTATTTGTGTAATGTATTCATTCTTGGTTTTAGTGTGTTATCAATATGCCTGTTATTATGGTATTATGTGTGTAATGTATTCATTCTTAGTTTTAGTGAATTATCAATATGCCTGTTATTATGGTATTATGTGTGTAATGTATTCATTCTTGTTTTTAGTGAATTATCAATATGCCTGTTATTATGGTATTATGTGTGTAATGTAGTGAGTTATCAATATGCCTGTTTTGATGGTATTATATGTGTAATGTAGTGAGTTATCAATATGCCTGATTTGATGGTATTATATGTGTAATGTATTCATTCTTGGTTTTATTGAGTTATCAATATGCCTGTTTTGATGGTATTATGTGTAATGTATTCATTCTTTGTTTTAGTGAGTTATCAATATGCCTGTTTTGATGGTATTATTTGTGTAATGTATTCATTCTTGGTTTTAGTGAAATATCAATATGCCTGTTTTGATGGTATTATGTGCAAGGAAATCATGACCCCATACCTTTTCACGTCCGATTGGGGAATCAAACCCCAGCTGCTTTGGTGAAAGGCTATCCACTGTGCCACCCAACACCCCTAGGCTTTCTTTATGGCTACTTTTAATTTGGGGATTTGAAACCGAAAGTTAAATACATGAACACGTGATCATTTGAAAATACTTATGCTACAGCATAATGAAACTTACCATAAATGTTATCAGTATCAATTTGATAATGTCTACCATGCCAGACATCCTCGATAGCCAGGGTTTAAGCTCACTTTCGCTCTCTGCACCTCTGTAATATGTCATAGCAAAATTGAAGGCTCATGGCTAGCCATTAAATTGATGTCAGATAAAAAAAAACCTGACCAGTCACCAGGCTGATACTTGTCCTTTGAACAGTACAGAGGAGCGACGCCCGACTTGAAAGCCAATACATTTTACTGTTACGTGACCTGCGAGATTCTTTTGATGTACATCAAGTGATCAAGCTGATCTTCTTGTCTCATCAACAAGGTGGCGCACACCGAGCCTTCGTTTTTACTATGACATATTCGAGGGGTGCAGAGAGCTCAAGTGAGTGTTACCCCTGGATATCGAGGATGCATGCCAGATAAAACCATACAATCGTCAAATCAAAGCACAGAATAAAGTTAGTAGTAAAATGAAGACATTTAAGTGGCATTGTACCATTGTTTAAATGCATGCTATTACTTTGGTTATATTATGTATTCAGTCATATAGTAAAATGTAAAAAAATAAAAAAATAATGCTACTTTTGTAACTGGAACGAGGTGGGCCCATTTTTGTGTTAAATTTTATTCCACAAAAATGCATAGGGACATTATTGTTAAGCCTGCCATTCAGGATGAAAAAAATAAAAACACATTCATGTTGCCAATCCTTCAGTGCCTTTACAAAAAATATTCTTGAACATAAAGTGCACTCCCTTACAAAGAACTATGTATGGTTTGGGCCTTTTTTGGCCCCCAAATCCACAGGGACATGAATCGATTTACTTGTAATATAAAAAAAATAAGGGTCTCCTACACTAATGTGCCCAAATCCATCATCATTAAAAATCTGCAATAGAACTTTCAAATGAATGTTTCTTTAATTTTGAATACTTCCCCAGTACTATTTTGTAAACATTTATTTGTGTTTTCGATTATGGCTGCCATGGTAACAAGGTCATATTTACATTAATTGTTGAAATTTGATTATTCAGTCGATTTTGACAGGTTTTCACCTAGTTTTTCTCTTACCTACCGTAGAGCGTGCACCCTATGTAAATTTGAACTTGTTACCATGGCAACAATAATTAGAAATATAAATAAATATTTCATAAAAGTATTTGGGAAGTATTCAAAATTAAAGAAACAGTCATTTCAAAGTTCATTTCAAGGTTTTGAATTTTGATGCATTTGGGGGCCAAAACAGGTCCAAACCATATATAGTCCTTTAAAACAATCTAGGTCAAACTCAGTGATATTTCATTTATGAATGTACTTGTGTTCACTGTATTCCCATTTCCTATCACTAGTCTATGTTGTTGATATAAAATAACATATATTGTGTGATAAATACTGACAGATTATAACAAATGTTGTCAGTCTGGTGGTTTTTTTATAAATTTTGATTTATTTCGTTAGTTTAAAATTGAAAGGATAGACTAAAGGTCTTTCATAATATTGTTTCTAATTTCTGTGATGGTAAACTATTTTAAACACATGTGGCCAAACATTTTTATGTTATCTTCACATGATCTTTATATTTTGTCAATTTTTTTTTTTAGTTTCCAACATTTGGTTTTAAGGATGGGAAGGACCATGCTATCATTATTAATGAAATTTAACTTTGTTCATTTTATAGGAACTTAAGTACATGGATGAAGCTATGAGTAGCGTTATCCGTGACATAGAGATAAGGAAATACTGGGATCTAAATGGAGAACAACCACCAGAGAGCGTTACTGTTTCTCCGGGACAATATCGTGAAGGATTGCAGGCGATCATTAATAATATGACACAAGCCACAGAGACAAAATGAGAAAGAAAACCTCCATTGTGTAAGCTGTTATAGGGACAGTAACTGATGCTGAGAAGTTTAACTTTGAAATCGTTAATTTTTGGCGTGTTCCATAATGTCCTGAATAATGTCCCTTATATATAAGGGATAGAATATTTATGATAAATGACATGGCATATGTAGTTTGAAAGTTTGATGACATGAGTAAATGTTTGTTAAAAAAAGTTTGTTGTTGTGGTTTTTAAACTAAGTACCTATACAGCATTAGAATAGTTATGGATCCCTGTAGCACTGCCAGAAACTGTAGCTACACATACGGATCCCTGTAGCACTGCCAGAAACTGTAACTACACATACAGACATTACATACTAGAGTTTGGATTCATCATTTCTGAAAAAAAACATATCTTGAGCGACTTGTATCAAAAATTATTAATTGTGAAATAAACAAAGCTTAATCAACAAAATATACTCGGTGTAAAATTTCAGCTAGGCTAGACTGGAATTCAAGCCTCTGTTTGTTATATTATCACTCTAATGACAGAGTGGGGCAGGTACCCTTAATCATTGTGTAGTCCTTTGATTACAACATTGTGGTATTGTGACCAGTGCAGTGGTGCAGGCACCCTTAATCATCTGGTAGTCCTTTACCACATTGTGGTATTGTGACCAGTGCAGCGGGGCAGACACCCTTAATCATTGTGTAGTCCTTTACCACATTGTGGGATTGTGACCAGTGCAGTGGTGCAGGCACCCTTAATCACTGTGTAGTCCTTTACCACATTGTGGTATTGTGACCAGTGCAGCGGGGCAGACACCCTTAATCATTGTGTAGTCCTTTACCACATTGTGGCTACGTGACTAGTGCAGTGGGGATGACACCCCTAATCATTGTGTAGTCCTTTACCACATTGTGGTAATGTGACCAGTGCAGTGGTGCAGGCACCCTTAATCATTGTGTAGTCCTTTACCACATTGTGGTCATGTGACCAGTGCAGCGGGGCAGACACCCTTAATCATTGTGAAATCATTTACCACATTGTGGTGATGTGACCAGTGCAGTGGGTCAGACACCCTTAATCATTGTGAAGTCATTTACCACATTGTGGTTACGTGACCAGTGCAGTGGGGCAGACACCCTTAATAATTGTGTAGTCCTATACCACATTGTGGTAATGTGACCAGTGCAGTGGGGCAGGCACCCTTAATCATTGTGTAGTCCCTTACCACATTGTGGTAAAGTGACCAGTGCAGTGGGGCAGACACCCTTAATCATTGTGTAGTCTGTCAGCACATTGTGGTATTGTGACCAGTGCTGTGGGGCAGGCACCCTTAATCATTGTGTAGTCCTTTACCACATTGTGGTTATGTGACCAGTGCAGTGGGGAAATCACCCTTAATCATTGTGTAGTCTGTCAGCACATTGTGGTATTGTGACCAGTGCAGC